AAAAAGCACTAATTTGGGGGTCGGGGGGTGGGGAATGGCTCCGTTGGCCAAAAATCCCGGTTTTCTCCCCATGATTTGGCTCATTCTGTTAAATCTGAGCGCCCCCTCTCTATATAATAAAATTCAGGGATAATTTCCCCCTCTCGGGAAAAATTTCAAGCCTGGAATTTTCCCCAAATCTGGGAAAAAAAAATGAAAAATGGGAAGGGTCGTTGTCCCCTTTGTCCCTGTTTTCCCAGCGGATGGAAGGGGGAGAACTTTGAATTGAAATTGGGGAAAAATATCCTGGAATTCCCTCCCGGGGGGTCGGATCAACTGGTTTGGGGGAAAAAAAAAAAGGAAAATTGGGTGAAAATTTGTCAACGTCGTCATTTGGAGTCGGGATCTTTCCTCTTTTTTTCCGGGATCTCGCTCTTCTTCCAGCCGGGACCCCCCGGATCCTTCCCGGAAGAATTCCCGGGCTCTGTTCCCAGCGCCAGGATCTGACTCCGGTGCCCCCCCAACCGTTTTTTTTGGGGGGGGGGATGTTTTTTGCGGCACAAAATGGGGGGGATCCCAGGGGGGAGTCGGGATCATCGGGCGACGAGAGCGTCGGCGTCGACGTTGTTGAGGAGGAAAAGCTCCGGGCGAGCAGCGAATCCCAAACGGAGCTGGAAGGGGAGGAGGAGAAGGGTCAGAGCTTAACGAGCCCAGTTTAACGATGCCCCAATTAAGCCCAGTTTAACGAAGCCCCAGTTGAGCCCCCTTTAATGAAGCCCCAATTAAGCTCATTTTAATGAAGCCAGAGATGAGCCCAGTTTAACGAAGCCCCAATTAAGCCCAGTTCAATGGAGCCCCAGTTAAGCCCGGTTTAACGAAGCCAGAGATGAGCCCAGTTTAATGAAGCCTAAGTCAAGCAGAGTTTAACGAAGCCCAAATTGAGCCCAGTTTAACAAAGCCCCAGTTAAGCCCAGTTCAATGAAGCCCCAGTTGAGCCCAGTTTAACGAAGCCCCAGTTGAACAGCGAGTGCTTAATTGATCTGCAGGGCACGGGGCGGGAATCACCCTCGTTAATTAGGGCTTAATTAAGCAGCGAGAACTTGGGGCAAGGGGAGGGGATCCACCCACGGCAACGGCGGCAGAACATCCCCCGCTTTGCTTTAAATTCCTTGAAATTGGGTTAAATTCTCAATTTGGGGTGTAGCCCAGCTTTAATTAGCGCTAAGTGATTACCCAGGTTGGCTAATTAACAGAACATGATGTT